TTGACTAATACTATACTTCAATTTTAAATTTAATAATTAGCTAATGTGGACGGCAAGTTCGCCTGCTTCTTTGCAGGGGTTGCGGCGACCCTAAAACGCCAACCTCAGATTGGCTCGATTGTAAAGATAGTGGATAGACCCGAAGGCAGCTAGCATTGAGGTGTACCTACTATCCTTCCATTCAGATCCAATCATAGATCGGAGTTTTGATGTCACCGCAACCCCTCCAAAAAAGCAGACAAACTTGTGCTCCGCATTATGACATTACACAACACTCGTGGCCAAGACTATTCAACCGGCATAAATGAAAGTGCATGAAAACTTGGCACACTCCTCGTAGTGCTAAAAACTAATACTTCCCATGTACAACAGTCGCAACAGAGGACACTCGGTGCATTGCACAGTCCCGAACAAAAGAAACGCGAAAGACGGAACGACAGCCTCTCGCGCTGGTAGCCCCCCTCAATTGTCGTCAGTGGCAGCTCTTGCAGAGCTTGGGGCACTCTTCGAAAGTACAGATGGTGCCAAGTGGCCTGCCCGTTCTGTAGATAGAATTTGCGTGTACTTGTTTCAGTCTACTACAAGATGTGGCGTTAATCACCGAGCCTTCGTCATATTGTAATATTTTAGCAGTCATACACTTAGGCGCAAATCGTAATATTAGTGTAATATCGAGATCAGACTCTTTTAATATACGTGCCATCAATGCCTCATGAACGCGCTTGCTGCATTGTGGACTTGGCGAGTTGCGCCGGATGCGAGGAAATTTATTTATCGCCAAGTACACGCCAAGTACGCGCCAAGTACACGTCAATTTTTGCTTATAGAAAGGGTTGGTCACTGAGCACCATCACTATTCTCGAAGCGTATTGCAGGCTGCGCGAGAGCTTCCGCTGACAACCGTTGAGGAAAGCAAAAAGGGCGACAGGCTTTTTAGACATGTTGTCGCTCCATCGTGCGAGTTACCTTTGTTCGAGACTATACAGGAGAACGCCATAGAAATTTAACATAAGGTGCGTTCGATTCGGCCAGAAACCTCCGGAGCAGTTTTGTTCGAGCTCAGAGGAGTGCAGGAGTCGTGGAGTGGTGGCGTAGAACCAGTGCAGCCACCGCGTTAGGACAGGCGCAGCGATCGGCTTCCGGTGCGGAAGCGGAGTGTATTCTCCGCATCTGTTGATTCTTGATTTTTCACGATATTAAAATCTCCGTAATATATTTACGCTCACTCGCGTTTCTTTTTCTTTTTTTAAAGTTTTAAATCATATAAGCGAATTGTTTTCCGTAAATGTTTCTTTGCTGCAGTGCATAAACTAAAACGTTTTCAGCAGGAAATGCGCTTCTCTCTGCACCTTTCATGGTTAACGTCTGCTTCCTATCGTTTCCATAACCGTTCGCATCCTTTAACTCCGTACGTTAACTCTACGTCTCTCGAGTTTCAAATTTCGGCGATGGGTTCGCGGCATCAGCATATTGTAGTGTCTTGACTTACTGGTTTCAGCATGTGGTAACGGTCGCTTCGAAGACGAAGACCTGACAAGAGCGGCGCCTTGGCCAAACCAGTTACCGGCCGTCAATTTCACGTGATGTTGAAGCGTTTATCCTGATTTTCAAGAAAGATTTGTGTAGAATTACCAAGCCGATGCCGATGCTCGGTGCTTTTTTTCCCAGGCCCGTTAGTTGGCGGTCGCACATACCAGAGGAAGTAGGACGCATGTATTAGGCTCAGCTACTGGGGCATGTGAATGCCAATGTACTAAATCACAAACCATTGCGCTCTATCAAAGTCGTCAGCCTGCATCCAACAGCTAGTGAAGACGGGCGCTATCAAGAGTCTAATATGTCTAATATTTTGCTGCGCATTTTAAAAGGTGTGTAAAAACAGTATCAGCATCAAAATATACAATACACGTGAGTCAATCTTTCAACGCTTACCGCATGTAGCCCAATGTGAACGAGGTGGTCCCTAAGACACTTTCAAATATCGTATCCTAGCTAATGCCTTCCCTCGGTTAGGATCTCACTTACGCGTACACCAAGAGTGCATTATTTTCATCGATCAGAGGAAATGCAGCCTCCGCCTCGGCGTTACTTTTATGCTCGGCAGACAGTTTAGCAGGAGCGCCGAGAAATGATACCGCGATTGTCGTCTGCTTCTGCGAGGCACTAAATTGACTCCGGAGCCGGTGCCAAAGTTTTGAGGAACTTGATTCTAATTCGTTCGAAACAGGGGTGAATCGATCGCGTTAGTGCAGCTGCCGTGCAACTTTCGGTTGAATCAAGTGCGCCAGTTCCTGCACAGCTGAACTAGTTCAGCCAGTTCAGGCGAATTGAACAGACTTATAGTTACACAGATATGAAGCACGTGAATAAGAATAGTAAGGCTGGGGGATTACAATGTTTAATTTATAAGATCGCAGAGGAAGTGAATTACGATGCAGTTCGCCTCGTTCTTCCTCGTACTTTTTGTTTGCGCATTCAAAGCGCGTCGCGGCCCCGTTTCTTTAAGGGCACTTCTTTTGCAGGGCTGGCAGTGGTTCTGCTGGAAGAGTGGCACGGCCCTGCACTCTAGAAAAAGCCCGTGCGCCCACCTTTTCGCACAACCCTCGAAGAGCCAATCACCGCAAATCACGCAGGCAGCTCAGCGAATGACGATGCCGAAACATATGTTTCGACCAAAAAACGCAGTCTGAGTTGCGACATTTCAATGCAACCGTGACACTTTGAATTTTTTAATGTCACAACTCATACTATGTTTTCTTGGTCGAAACATATGTTTCGGAATTGTCATTCGCTGCGCTGCCTCCATAAGCTGCGGGGATCGGCTCTCCGAGGGTTTCGCGGGAAAGTAGATGCACGAGCTTTTCTTTTTTAAGTGTGGCGTCATTGAAAATACCGCAGCCAGCCCTGGGCCGGTAGGAAGCATTCCGCAAGCCGGGTCTCGACCCGAGGCCCTAGATTACTCGCGAGTCCATCACAGCCGATGTAACGTTAGTGTGCACCAGCTCAAAAAAATTGCTGGTACTTAAACCTGCCAGTATGCAGTCTTCAGCGCAAATCGTAATCTATGTTTTGCCCTGCTGCGGTCCCTTAACGCACCGCGAGTCATTCACTTTATTATTTTTTATTTTTAATGTGTATTCATGCATACCGAGACAAATACATAAGTGCTTACACTTGCGGATGATCAAACAAAGAAACAAAAAACTAAATAAATTTATTATTTTTGGTTCTCATTTTTGTCACCCGGATTCAGAAGTTTACTGGCAATAGCTTCATGTTTTTGCTTTTCTTACAGATTGTTACAAGGAGTACCGAATAATTTCTTCATTATATTTCGTCTCACTCTACGATGGACTAAAGGCAGAAGCTACGAACCGACAGATCCAATCACGAGCCACTTAGACATTGTGCGGTATTTCGCTTCGAAGCACGCATCGGTGCCCGTGTCTCGGATCACTGATGGATTGACAGTGGTTCGGATCGAGCAGTGAGTGACTCAACAATTTTACATTGCAATGAAAGCCACGGCGTACTGACACTTTGCAGTGTCGAAGCTGTAAAACTGACGCAGCGTTACTTGGAATCGGAGCATTATTCGTCAAAACTAATCAATGCTAAGCGTGTCATAGTTTAGTGTGAAACGAGATTGGACCTAGCGGCTCGTGGCTTTGGACTTCAGTCCGTTGTAGGATCAGATTAACTTTTTTTTTTTTTTTTGTTATAGACACAAAATAAAGTGTCCCAGGATGGTCGCATCTAGATATGTGCTGAGTATACTGGTATTCGAATAGAAATTACTGTATCAATTATAGATTAATCACGGATAATAACCGCCAAAATTCTGACTATCCCGTTTTCAAAAAAAAAAAGTGATATTCACATTTCTGCTGTAATTACATTTTTAGCAGTAAGATAGCCGTCATAGCCTTATAACTAGAATGGAATATTTTTGACGCTATTCTACGCTGCGATACTGCAATCATTTTGCACAACACTGCCACTTCGTTACCCTGCGGTTTGCACTGAAACGTTTCGCTTCCCCAATTGTTAGAAGTCAGGTAATATGGAGAGGAATACCCAAGAGGCTCCGGGCTGTCACCACGAACCGATGATTAATGGCCTTGTGTTTGTCTTACCTCGTCATCGTCCTTGTTGGTTTCAGCGCTTTCATATCTGTTATAATAATGGTCTTTCCAGTGTTTTCTTTTTTTTTTTTTTTTTTTTTTTTACAGTTGGGAGTCAGAACAACCTATAGGTGGCATAATTGCATCCGGGACCGCATTCTGGGTTTTTAAGCAAATTCGGAATATTTAGTGACAGTTTCTTATCTTTGCTTGTCAAAGAAAGGAAAACAAGCGTTGATGTGTCAGAGCTATGTCACGCAGTATGCATGTCTTTATATGCAAGAAACCCAACAGCCTCATTATTGTTAAAATAAAAACCGCAGGCAAGGAAAAAAGGTTGCAAATGTGACCATGATATGGGAAACTGTTGGTATAAAATATGCAGTTTTGTAATGCTCTCGCTAATGCATAGATATAAAAACCGTTTTTTTTAAACGATAGCTTTAAGACGCTCGTGTTGCGGAAAAACCGGCGTCGGTGTCTGTGGCGGACGGGGAAATCCTGATTGATGGAGATGGTCATGTCGTCACAGTCACATGACCTCGCTCAAGAATTTTGACCAATTAAGACGCTCACGTGAAACGTGACGTCAAGTGGGGAATAAAAGGGATTAAACTAGACATGGAATGTGAATTAAAGGTCTCTGCATGTGTCAAGAAATTTTAATTTATAAAATTATCCTTCTGGCTTAACAAAAAAATCTGGAGAAATTTAGGCGGAGGCGGGATTCGAACCCCAGACACGCTACCGACTAGGCCAGGCATACACACTTGCACGGCTTAGGAACAAGCGGAAATTTATATTAAGCTATCGCGTTTCAGTCTTGGAGGCGAAGTTTAAACGTTCTCCTGTAATTTCTTTTTGTGTCCTGTCAAGGTCTATCATTCTCTGAAACGGAAGCAAGTCGAAGGTTTCACAGTTTACCTGAAAGAAGAAATTCCAGATGCGTGGCGTTTTAAAAGAAATCGCAATGTTGGTCCGATTTTGCTGGTGGCAGACGTCGGATACTATATCGTGCCGGTAAGTGGATTTTTTTGTGTGCAAATGGCAGTAAAAATGTGGACTGAGTGTGTGCCACACCTTAACTAATACACCCAATATTGGCTGTATGCACGGTCCATATTTTTGTAGAAACCAGGATAACATGCAGAGGCAATGATTATGCAAAAGTTTTGCAACCCTACTAGTTATTACAAAGTAATCAAGGTGCTCTCCAAAAAGGCTGATATACGAAGAGGCTCTGATCTACGGGATTCATGTCACCTGAAAAGAAAGTCGATGTTAAAGAAACGTTACTCATGCCGGATCCTTTCTTCTTTTAAACGCAACCATATTCTTTCTGCACGTTGCACGAGAAAGTAATGTTCAAAATTTCATAGACTTAAATTCCATATATACAATATTTTATCGTATACAAAATGAAATACTCAGAAATTAAGTTTAAAAAGTGAACTGGATATTTCCCGCTTTAATGAAATAAATCAATAGTTATATTTGCTTAATCGAGGCTTATATATGGAAAGTCAATTCACTGATAGAGAGCATTAATGAAATTACTAAAACCCCAGGGCGGGGTCATTTCAAGTTTATTTTTCTGTCATCGCGGTACGCGAAGGCAAAAGGAGCCTGGACGTGTGGCGACCGCGCAATAGTTGTGTCCGCAATAATACGCATGAGCACAGCCACGTAATCTCACTATGCGCCGAGAAACTGCGGCAGGGAAGGAGAGGAGTGTGCGCGCGGAGGTCAGAGCGCCAAGCTCTGATTGGAAGGATTAGTGGGTAGTTCCTAAGCCTTTGTCTCCATTGCACTTGTCAAACGCGTTAGAAGGCGGAACGCCGGAGTCTGGCGTTTGGCTCTCGCGTTCCAACGAGTTCGACGAGTCTAGTGGAAACAAAGGCAGATAAATCTAGGGCTACCCTCTAATCGTTCCAATCAGAGCTCGACAGACTTTCCCGCGCATTCTCGTATCCTCCTGTTCCACAATTTCTCGGCGCATAGCCGCCGAGACGATGAAAGTGGCAGGGAGGTCCTCCAATTGTTCTGCTACAGCGGGAGCTTTCTACTTTCGTTGAAGCTTCGACTTCACGAGGGCCTCGAGCATGTCCGCGTTGCCAAGGTACGGTGGGAGGCAACAATAGTCACGCTAAATGCCGGGCATCCGAAAGACTTGGGGTTTTCACTTTTTCAGGTACTATAAAAATACATTTTATTTCATGACGTCCCATGTTCGTCTCGACCAATGAATATCAGCCTGTTGTAATGTATAGAGTGGGCGAAATGGATTGAACGTACTTCAAACTGACCGCATAAAGCGGTTTCTTAAATTATCGCGCTCGGATTTACGACAGAGGTGCTCGATGCTGATGCATTCATTAATTTGTAGCACGAATACACGAAACCTTCCGAGACCACAGAATTAAAATAAAAACTAGTTTTGTCTATGGAAAAAAATATCGCAAAGCCTTTTGTCTAAAAATAACCAAAAAATCGTTGTGGGCTATTCTCGCGTTTATTGCAATTGAACAATTTGTGAAATGGAAAGAATATATAATTTGCTTACCCATTCTTGACTTCATTTGGCCCAAAAGAGCGCCACACTTACACAAAATATTTTTAGTGTACGTGCAAACTATAGACCAACACGGCGGCCCTGACGTCACGCAGCTGCGGTGGCGCTGTTGACGGCACGGCGCATGCGCACACGCTTCACTCCTTCCAAATTTGGTTTCCGCGCATGCGCAGTGCCCACGCCTGGTGTGGGCAAACGCGGGCTTGTTTGTAAACAGCGCGTTGGTCTATAGGGAAAAAAGTTTTTTTTTTTTTTCATTTTTCTTGATTTACTCGGGTAAGCCAATCTTTCCACAATTTTGAGCGAAAGTTTCCACCGATGCAGGTATTTCTGCAGCAAATTTCTGCGCGATAAGTTCAGAAACCGATTTATGCGGTAAGTTTAAATTGCGTTCAATCCATTTCGCCACTCTGTGTAAGAAAACTCAAGACGATCTAGCTACAATTGAAAAATGAGGAGAGCCATATGTCCGAAAGGATTTTTAAAAAAAAATCATCGTGCGTGATTAGGTCAGGCGGATGTAAAAGATGCACCATGGTGACGACCGCCGTGACGACACACTTCGGCGCTGCTTGATTGACGAAATAGGAGCGTAGTGTCGGCTGCGATTTGACTTTGAATAAAACAAAGCATAAAAGACGATGCCTGTAAAATAACACAAGCTCGTGGTCTTTAGCATAAAGGATAGTTTTCTGGTTTGGTTGTCTGCTTCTTAATGCAAAAGCGTTAACTGGTACCGTGACTCGAAACCGGAGTTGTCTGTAGCAGTCAAAAATGGCACCTGAAGTCCGTCTGTAGCAACGAAAAACGGCACCTCGATTCCCACTGGCTGAGCGAAACGGCGCCTAAACTACCATTGGTCGAAAGCGCAGAAACGCAGATGCTTCGTCAGGGCAGCCGGCGGGTCGCTCAAGGTCAAAGAAGACGCGTTTCAAAAATAAAACACAAAGAAAAGCCTAGCATCGCAGAGGTATCATCACGGAAGCCGTGGGGCCGGCGCGGGCGCCGCTCTTGCGCAGTGGGGCGTGTGATGCTACCGCCGGTGCGCCGTGTAAAAAAGATAGACATGGCGCACTACTTCTACGAATGCGCTTCATGTACGAATACGCATTCCTACATGTAAACAGTCTTGAGGGGTTTCGTTTATTTTTTTTTCTTCGCATCTCAGTTTGGGAATCCCGAAAAATCGGTTCCCGGACCCGGTAAACCTCCTTCGGGAACTCATGGCTACGCTTCAAGCTTTCCGGACATGTGGGGAATATTCTACGGTAGCGGTCCGGGTAAGCAGACTTTTCAATATGTGTGATGTTCATTGTTTTCTTAAAAATATTTCTGGATATTTCTGCGTGTATTGCTGTTTATATTTTCCGTGATTGTTGCTGTGAATAACTCTCTCCGCACTTGAGTACGTTTAATGTTTGTACCTTTCTCAATTCTCTGGCTTATTTAATGTATATGACAACGAAAACAGCTAAAAAAATGTGAACGACAGAAATAAAAACATACACGACAGGACAAAGCTGTACTCGCAACTGAAAAATTTTAGTGGAGGAAAGAGATAAAGAAAACACACAAAAAGTATCATAAAAGATGGCACAAAAACACAAGGCCACACTGACCAACCAAAAAAAAAAGTGAGTAATCAACATTTCTTACCCGTTATATTCATTTAATGCAACCTGAAGATTACGTTAAATCAATATACGAGGGGCGAACATCATTGATTTACAATTGTTCTATCTTTTACTGCATATACCGGTCACTTAAATGTCGCCACATATGTCCACCTTCTCCAGAGACTTCGACTTGAGCCCGATATCCTCTCTCCACCTGTGTGGCAGCCTGCCCATGCCCTGCTGGTACAGCTTTAAGGAAGTGCCTCACACCCACGCCTGGACAGCTGCTTTTAACCTAATAATGACGGCAAAATGGAGTCCTCGCGGGAGATTTCCCATGCCTCCAATCATGTGACAAACACTGGGGACCCGAGAAGGCCCTACCCGTGCCCGACTTAACGTCGCACTGGCCGTACGACGTGCCAAAAGGATAGCTGAACCCGAATAGATACCGACAATCACGGCCTCACGTGAATGCGAACGACGCATTGTTTTACCTGCGCCCGATAGGATTTAGCTGTCGTTCTCACATGTCGTAATGTAGTGAGACGTTTGGTTGTTCATAGGTATGGCTTGATTGGTGTCCCAGTGATTCTCGTATTTTGGGTATCCGGAAAAAAAAACAGCCAGGACGCCATTTTACTCTCATTGATAGGATGAAAGCAGCTGTCCATGCGTCGGTGTGAGGTAATACAAAGAAGTTGTTCCAACCGGATATAAAGACGCTGCCACACAGGAGGTGTAAGGCCATTCTGCTCCTGGGAGAGCATGCCCAAATGGTAGGCATATGTGGCGACCTCTTAGTTACCTGTATATTTAGTAAAATATTTAATCGCCAATAAATATGTTACGTCATTAGTAAAAATCATCCAATCAATACATCTAATTCAAGTGCTGCTAAAAAAGATCGGGCTAAGATTGGTATTTGACTGCTGAATTTAATCTTCAGTCGCAACGCTAATCTTTTATTTCCATATGCGTGCTAAAACAGCACGCAAGTGTTTTTTAAACCCTGGAGCGGGACAATGGAGGCTTGAGAATTCAGCACAAAAGAAGAGAGACAGAAGATGTCGGCGAGCCGTGCATGTACTTTTCTTCCGCTTATGCTTTTAGAGTGCAGCTCTTAGGCGCCCGTTTCCGGCTTGAGCGGCGTCGGCGTCTGCGTAACCGCGCGGTTCATTACGGGTAAATTTCCCCGCTAAATCTAGCGGAAAAGTTTTCCCGCTAAATCTAACAGAAAAATTTTCCCGCTAGATCTAGCGCAGGAATTTTGCCGCTAAATTTAGAGGAAAAATTTCCCCGCTAAATCTAGCGGAAAAGCTCTCCCGCTAAATCTAGCGGAGAAGTTTCACCGCTAAATATAGCGGAAAAATTTCTCCGCTAAATCTAGCGGAAACATTTTCCCACAAAATCTAGAGGTAAAATTTGCCCGCTAAATCCAGCGGAAAAATTTCCCCTCTAAATCTAGCGGAAAAATTTCCCCGCGAAACCTAGCGGGAAAGTTTCCCCGCTAAATCTAGCTGAAAAATTTCCCCGGTAAATCTAGCAAAAAAATTTCTCTGGGCGGTCACGTGACCCCCCCTCCCCCCCCCCCCCCCCCTGAGAACACGTGACCCTGAGTATCCTTCCCTCCCCCTCCTCAAGGGCTGCGCTCTAATTCGGCGTTATAGAGAATTGTAAACGGCTTTCATTTTTCAAATAGTTTTCTAATCTTCAAGATCCAAGCGTAACTGCAGAAACTGTTAAACTAGTTTAAATAAAATATTGCCCGAATCATCGTGCACCCTCCAAGCGCACTTAGAAAAAGTGCAACGCAAAATAAAATCGCTGCTTGGAAGTCCCAACTTTTTCCTCATCGCGTGAAACAATTATGCTTTCTGTCACCATATTTTTGAAAAATACAAAACCGTTATACTCTTATTTGACTAAGCATACACTGCAATCAAGAACTTATATATGATACCTTCACTGAATAAATTTCGACGAAATTAATGTTACATTTTTTGCCTTTCTTTTTTTCTATAGCGATAGTTCCTTCCAGCGGCAGAGTACCAGCATTGATTATGGTGGACGTCTACAATGTGCTGTGCTACATGCTTGGACTGGAGCCGAAGCGCAACAGCGGGTCGTGGGCTAGAGTGGAGAGCTTCCTTGATCCGGCTTACGACCCTGGATTGTACGAAACACTGCGAAAAATGTGAAGCCACCTGCTCGAGCTTCAGACAGGTGCTAAAACCCTGTGAATTATGTTACGCTTGTTTATTAAAATATCATTTGTAACCTCTTTCTTTGGACATTTGTCACTTTATGTGTGATATTCAGTCTTAAATAAAGGTGTATACATTTAACGTTATTAGCTACATAAGTTATTGTAAACGTGATATGGTATAAAACTTATAAGACGAGCCTGCTTACTTTAACGAGGCATCCTGGCGAATACTATCGCATGACACTCCCATCACCAAGACGTCCGTGGCTTCCTAACAGGAACGCAGTTCTTAAAGAACGAGGAACTACAGTGAGGGTCGTGTAAAGAAGGACAACCAATCACAAGCACAACAGACAGGTTTGTTTTTCTGCCTTTTTTCAGTTTTTGAGGCAAGCGACTTTCCCGTGCACCGTTAGCATTAGGTTTTATTTTGTATACCGCTGCCCTTAGGCATCAATAGTCGTTGCCGGTGTACCTTTTCCGGAGCTTGTATGTATGGTTATATAAATCGTTTCAACCAATCGTCTTCACGCACAAAGCTGGCACTTAAGCTTTTTGCTACAAAAGACATACGCGCATATTTACAGCACGCTGAAGTAATCTTCATCTGAGTTCATATTGTAAATGCTGTTTCTTTTATTGCTTGCAAATCTTCTAATGCTTTTTTAAATATTTTTCTGTACTTTAATATGCATGTTTTGAGTTTTAAAGGTATTCTTTTCGGGTTGCTTGATTTTTGTTCGTGTGCTTTGTGCTATATTTTGACTGGTTGTATTGTTCTCTGTATTCTGCCTTTTAGTACCAAGTAGATTTCTTAAGTTATCTCTCTTCCCTCCTCAAAAATATGACCTGAGCTAAAACTGAAAGTGCACGCAGATCTTGTTTTTCAAAATCGTGTCACGCCCATCTCTTTCAATCACGAATGTATCCTTTTTTTATGTACCGAAGTGGCGGCCCCCTCCCGATGATAAAAAATTGTGAAACATACTGACCGTGCACTTTAAATATGTTACGGAAGCTTGCTATTTTAATTGGTATTCCAGGGACTGTATTTAAAATCATTCCTTATATGACTGGCTATGTGTCGTAAAAACGAAACATCAAAAAGCTCCCCAAATAATTTTTTTTACCTGTGGGGTTGGGACACTCGTGTCAAGAAATTAATTTTACGCTAAAAATATTTTAGGAGCAATATTGACAGGGCGAGACGCGATTTATTCTGTAGTCACCTCGTTTACACTTATTTTCTCTCTCTGCATTTCAAGCGCGTGAATGAAGGTGAATAGGCTTTGCTTGCAGGTTGAGGGCGAAAGACCAAATGACACTCTCGTTAAGCAAATAGCCATTCCACGACGTCATGAACTTTGCGCCAAGAATTTCAAATAAATCTCTGGCCACCAATGTTGCTCTAATTTTTGTTTTTGCGTGTTTCAACCAGATTGTTGAAAATATTTTTTAGGGATCCTTTAAGGTTATTATGCATGTATTCAAGTACTTTAATTAAAATTTTTAATAAGGTAGTGCTAGGCATTAGAATCTAATATCATGTAATATGAACCTCACGTAGCTAAAATAACTGAGACATGGTTAAATCCTCAAATTCTCGATGGCGTAATTGTCCCTCCAAACTATTTTATGTTAACGAAAGACCGAACATCCAGGTGTGGCGGTGTAGCAATTCTCTTAAAGCAAGGTATCTCTTTTATACTTTTGCCTGACGTAAAACAAGTTGCGTCTTTTTGGTGTAAAGTGTACCTGGCAAATTATTCTGTCTTTATTGGTGTGGTTTACCGGCCTCCCAACTCGAATCTAAAATATCTGTATAGCTTGTTCGACTACATGCACCAACATATCAAGGGTGAAAGAATCATCATGCATGGTGGGAGATTTTGATGCACCAGAGAAAAACAGAAATTTACTGCGCCAGGGCACGTCTACTTCAGATAGTTTTCCTGGCATTATGTTTACATTTAACCTTCCACAAATGGCCAGGGAGTCCACCCGCGTGCAGGGGTCGTCTCGTAGTCTACTAGACTTGGTATTCCTTAGTGAAAATTTTCCCAAAGCCCAAACATATGTAGATGTGGTGGATGGCATATCCGATCATACAGCAATTGTTTGTGCAATACCTGCACGCGCCTCTGTGCCATCCCATGGTTGTAGTATCTATGTCCTTAATTTTAACAATTCTAACTATGCATCTGTCCTAACTTACCTTGCGAATGAATTCTTTGACTTTCGCGAAATGTATGATGGTGATTCCTGTAGCATAAAAAATCTATTGTGCAGGTTGAAAGCAATAATAAATCATTGAATTACCCTGAAGAAAATATAACCCATGGATAACCAGTGAGATTATCCACCTGAAACGTCATATTAAACGCCTTAGAAAGTCATCTAAAAAGTATCCCATTACAGACTATAGAAAAACAGAGTACAAAACTAAGCTTTCGTAACAATCGAGAGTGCTTAAATTAAATATCAAAGAAGCGAAACAAAAGACCCTTCGCGAATTCTCGCAAGACTCCCGCTAGAAAGTTTGGAACCACATTCTCAAACTATAGTTTGAGAATGTAATTCCAAACTTTGTTTGATGCCAAATACTCATTAGCCTCGAACTATACACCCATACCTCTCACATGCACGTGCTATAAACTCATCGAACACATCATCCTTAAATTTATGGCGGTATTTATTGATAAACACAATATTTTATGCGCGCACCAGCACGGCTTTAGGAGTGGACTATCAACTGTTATGCAATTTGTCAAGAATATCCATGAATCGCGATGAATATAAATAATAAAAACCAGAGAGATGTAAAGTTTTAGACCTATCAAAATCGTCTGAACGTGTTTCACGCGTCAAACTTACTTAAAAACTTACACAGATCATGGGTTGGGGTCCTATAGTATCTTGGATGAAGATAACCTAAAAACTAACTTTCAGTTTATATGTTATGTAGGACGCGTCTCTCCACCAGTCGAGGTATTGTCTGGGGTGCCGCAAGGAACTGTTTTGGCACCACTCCTGTTTCTTCGCAATATAAATGACATTGCTAATGGTATCAATTCAAAAATAAATTTTTTTTGCTGACGACTGTATTATCTATTGCGAGATAACAAGCCAAACTGACCAAATTCTACTAAACGAATCACTAAATAAGATAACCGATTGGTGCGATAACTGGCAAATGACTCTAAATTTAGACAAAACCGATACTGCGTGCTTAACGTGGAGAAATGAGAATATTCTCGAGTTTCCATACACTGTTAATGGTGTAGACTTGCGCAAGGTCACTGAATATTAGTATGTTGGTATCAATATTAGCATCCGATCTGAGCTGGTATGCATACGTTAAATATATAACGGACAAAGCCTTGGACAACGAACAAAAAATATGGGTACCGATTTTACTTCGGATACCTTTTTTTTGCATATTTCTAATTGAGCATTAAATGATGTAACTTTGAACCTTACGCACTATTGTATCTTCATCAAAATATTATTTCTTTGAAGATTAATAATGTATTGCGTATTTCATACGCCTTTCTTTGCGCCATGATACTTCGCATGGTAGTTCCGGAGCTCTTTTAATTTTCATTTTAACACAATCTTCATTAACAGTAATCTGTCGCCTGGTCAACACGAATTCGGTTTATTCCGATCTATACATTTCAATGTTTGCGAGATTGACGGTCTACACTTGTTAGGTCACAGCCCAGCACTCGCATGTTTGTCCCTACGGAAGGCGAGCAGTGTACGCGCCACACGCACGAACACTGAAAATGGCACCGACCAGAAGCGACCTTCTTGAATGTCTCGTGGAAGTTTCGCTAAATTACCAAAGCAACAAGGAGCATATTACTACAACAGAATTAGCTAAACGTACTGGAGGCTCAAAAAGTACTTTTCCAAAGAAATCTAAAACAAATTGCATGTTCTTTCAGGTAAGACGAGTGTGTGGGGCAGCTGTACCCACATTCCGAGCATTATTCGCTGTTCTTGGATAATGTTCCAAGAAATTATTTGCGTAAACTGTCGACGTCGCTTTGCCAGCGTAATTGCGTGCTTCTGGTAGAAGGGGAACGAATTTATGCCAGCGATTTTATGAAACTAGAGAGCCGCGGCTCGAGCGTACCCAGGTAAAAAACAATTTTCTCCAAATAGCAATTGCGTTAGCTTTTTTTTTTATTTATTTTCCTATTTCAGCACATAGGTTTCGTCTGATTTATCGCTTCTAACTGCGCGAAAACAGGGACGTTTGCGCTGTCTGAAGTTGATAATGATCTCTATTTCACAAAGTATGAGAATGTTATACTCTGGACAAATAGAGATCATTATCAACGTCGGATAGCACGAGCGTTCCCGTTTTTGCGCAGTTAGACATGAAAAAGGTGGACTCAAGCGTAGCCGATTGCAGGTGGCGCGCCTCGCTTCCCACCGGTGACGTCACAATTGAATGGCTGGAAAAACCGGGAGAAAAACTAGGGAGAACGATGATTTGTTTTTTGTAGCGAACAAAATACAACTTTCCTAATTAACTAGACTGAAGCTGGGGGAAAAAGATAGAATTTCAGAATCAGGAGGACATCCGCATTAAGATGATACATTTGGATTGGATAGCTTGAAAAAGTGGCGGATTTCCTCTTTAAGCGTAGTAACACAAGTCGATTATTTTTCATTTATTAAAAAAAGATTATACTTACTGAGAACTACACTAGTTAAGATAAACGCAGTGAATTTATCCGTCTTCAATTATTGTAAAAAAAGAAAAACAAGGCACCTTTCATTAAGTAATGAAAATCGTTAAAGTTGTAAAGAAATGCAAGCAAAATTATGCATGATTTCAGGTTTCTTCGTCACCAAATAAAATCACTAAGGCGTTCTATTTCCGATCAAAATATGAGCACCGTCAGCGCCGTTATGTAGACACACCATAAACACACTGAACGCAAGCCGACAAAACACATATTCATTGTTTGCCACCCTGCAGTCTCATATCCGCCCCAAACTGCACTTCTGAGTTCGGCTTCACCGTCGTTTTGTGCTTGGCGATTTTCTAATATAAAGGCGACCCTTAAAACACGAAAGGTATCAGTTGATATTTTACGATAGAGCAGTATTCGGTCCAGTACTCCTTATACTTCTTCGAGCACTTATCCTCGTCTCTCCAGCTTCGGTGCAACATAAAGCCGGTCACGAAGAGCGGCAACAGGTAAGGTATCACGCTTCCTGTTCCAGCCGGTAGTGCCCAGCAGAAGGCGCCGAGCACGTCGAAGAGGTAGTTCATGTGACGGCTGATGGACCAGAAACCAGAAGCCAGCAGAAGACTCGTCTTTTCCTTGCCGTGTTCGTCCAGGTACTTGGCCCGGAGGATCTTGGCAGGGGAGCCCCATATAATGCATTTTCCGTCCGATTCCCTGGCCACGGTCTTCTGACGGTCTGCCCAGTAGTTGAGAGCGGTCATTGCGAAACCTAGCACAATCACGCTGAGACCGAGAAGAGCGCTGTTTTCGGGACAGTGTTCGACAAGGTACATGCTTGTCACGGAGTAGTAGATTCCTTGGAAGCTCATGGAACCGAACACGAGGTAGTGTCCTGGAAAAGAAAGAAAAAGGGGAGGAGGCGTATGTTATTTCAAGGTATAGTCCAATAGCTTGCGACACGCCATGGCGAATTCAGCGGTCAATTGCGTCGCGTTAACGCACGATAGGGTACTTGAACAAAAGCGTTCGGGACAAACTAGATATCTGACCTTTTTGCTACTTACGCTGTCGTTACTTTTTGTTGTTCAGTAGTGGATGAGAGATTGTCTCCCGGCGCTAGCTACTCTTGGCATTAACAGTGTTACAACGGTATTTTCTCATTCAAAATTGCTCATTTCTTGTTTTTTTTGCAGGGGGGCCCGTGCACTGGGCATTAGATACTGCAAAAGCCCTAAATATAAAGCGGGTTGCTAACGCTGTTGCATAGCTTTTCATCTGGGGGTCGCCATAGCAGTCAATGAGAAGATGCAAATTATTTTGACGAATGGACGACGGAGGACTCGGTCTAGGGCTTACATTCGTAAGAGAGGCATTTACCAGACGGAAATTTGTTACACACGAACAGCATCTCTTTTACGAATTCTGCAACAATTCTTTTTGAAAAGAAAAAAAGAACATATGGTACCAATAGCTGAAGATGCAACAACTACAAACGTTAAAACGAAATTACGAGGATTATATTAATACTTTTCGGACTCATTAGATTTTCTAATAGCAAGACTCGACCGTGACGTTTGGGCTCCGTGCTCGAAAGAGAAGTTAGAAACTCAAGTGCTCACTGCATTGTTCCCACATTCAGTGTTTCGCGTGTACCCTACTTCCCTCTTCTGACCTGCATAACTGATGTGTCAAAACGAGTTAAAACGATGTCGGTACCACCTAGATGTAAAACGTTCTTTTAAATATTTTCTTCTCGTAAAACGCCCGTTAATAAGCGGCTGGACTCTAGACTTTACCTTTTAACCGCCACGTTCTCCCTAGCCTTCGTTCCTTGTGTTGACGGTGTGTTCATTTGGGTTGTCTCACGAGTATATGCAAAAGATATCTTGAAGTGTAAAAGGCAAACTTTCGCTACTTGCATTTCGCTAACCACCTTCGCACAATTCAATAAATTTTAGTAGTACTAGGTCTTAAAAATCTCTGGAAAATGCGCAAAATAAACAGATATGCAGGTGCTGCAAAGTCAGCCTTTGTGAATGTTAGAAATATTGCAATTAAGGTAGGTCAAGGCATATTGGCCACCCGTAATGAAAGATGAGTTGAAGATTACAGTAAAAATAGTCACGCGTCTGATATTATATAGGCTGTGATGTAACTCTTTGAATAGGTAAAGCCAAGGGAAAGTTTATGTGATACCTCCTTGTAAACTTTTTTGAGATGAGTGCTGATTTCTTGTGACCCGTGTGGAACGTTCCTTGTATTCAACTTCGCCACATTATTCACCATAATGGATTGCTTACATAAATTGAAACGGAATTGATCATCGTCTAAACCCAAATACGCTCCATAAATGTATGGAAAAAGATATGGCGTAGTTCTTTCGTTACACCTCCGATCCGCACTTTGTGGATCCAGGTTCGAATAGGGCATGCAGGAGGGTATCGTTTTCTAAGGAAATGGCAACATTGACGACGGACATCCTACACCCTACTACGCCAACTACAACATCAACATCAAACGCGGACGTAATTTCCAGTAATGGGAAGAGCCCATAAGAGCTATCGTTGTAAAAGTCATGCGTGTATGTCGCGCTATTAGTATCCTGAACGGGACACAAAGACGCTTTTACTAGTCGTCGCATCAACCCTGTTTAAAAGGGAATATAAATCTGGTAAGCCTGTAAGTGGCTTTCTCAAATAAGCACGTTTTTAGACGCTCAGATTGCTGTATTTAGAATATTTTAATTTCAGGAAAAAATGTGTAAGTTCTTGTTTTTGCTTTTTGGTTCTCTTTATGCCTTAACTGTGTGTAGAAAATAAGGCTCGGATTGTAATAAAGAATCGAGGATTCTTAAAGCAAATATTTTTATGCGACCACGTCCAGACAGGCAATTACTTTGTCAAATTTACTCTGCAGCAATGAGCAGAACGACAGTATCAGAATGCACTTCTCCGGGGCAGCCGAATATACAAGAATTATAGACAATTTGCAGAACTAAGCCAAATATTTTAGGTAATTGTTTTCTCCAGTAACGCGATCTTCGCCGAGGCACTGAACCAACACTACCTTAAAAAATGGTAAACTGCTTAACTTACTTCGCTTGACTGTGCGCAAGCATGCTCAAAATGGCAAAGGTCACGCACTTGAATGTCAGTTTCTTGCAGGAAATTCAGTCTATCGTACCGTAAAGCCTTCGAGATAGAGCGATTTGTTCAATTTTGAATTGTCTCGTACAAGGGGCGTGTAAACTTCGGTCTTCCTACTGAAGAGGGGGATCGCACCCAATCGAGTTTTCGAGATGATACAACTAAAACTCAACTAAGATTCTGGGAATCAATTCAGACTTCGAGACGAACTGAGGATATAACTTAAAAATAACGTCTAACTACAAAAAAAAAGAAGAAAAAAGAAACTTTTGCGGAATTCTGGTTTGAGATTAGCGCCTGCAGGCCTTGCAGGTTGCTTCCAATCGCACCGTAGTGCAACCAACGAGAAATTATTCTTTTCGTAAATTTGCGAAATTACTCTTTGGGGGTTTTGTTGTGGTTCAACACTTTACTCTTCTTGTTCCGGTGTAGATCGGAGAGCCCCCACGTGTAAACTTTGCATTTCCCCACCTACTGCCTTTGTAATCAAAACAGTTTATCAATATATGTGGGTTGCTTTATTGAAATGAAGCTCATAAAGCTTCAAGAGGTCAGTATCAAAGGAAATTTATGAATCTTTCCGGTGCAATTGATTCGTTGTTTTATCGCTTATTTAAGGGACTTAGCGCTTACTCACAAATACGTTGTGCGCATATAACAAGTACTAACTATCCCCATATGCTGATATGAAGTCAAGCAGATTATTTTAAAACGCGAAACTATGCAGTATCGAGATGATTAGGAAACATTATAATCTAAACCCTGATGCAAGGGGAAAAAGAATACCGCACAAGATCACGCAAGTCTCAAATTAAAGTTTGTGTCGTTTTGACCTATTTTTTATCTTTCTCTCAGGCTTTAGGTTATGATGCAGACAGTATAAAGTTTAGGAAAAGCTGTTTGGGCTAACAACGTTCTTATGGTTTCTGCTGATGCCCTATTACAAACAATGCACACTAAGCTACGCCAGAATTTTAACACAATATATGTATTATCAGCCGAATTTCATGAAGTACCGTGACGAAGAACCGCTACGAAGAACGGTCACAAAGAACTGTCACGAAGGATCGTCACGGACTGTGACGTCACGTAACATAACAATGTAGTCATCACGCCATCCGGACGTCGCCGTGATGCAATAATATCATTAGGACGTCACCGTAAGGTTATGACGTCATCATGACGCAACACATCATCGTGATGTCAGGATAAAGTCATTTTAACGATGTTGTGACGTCACCGTGTCAACATGACTCTAGGCGATGTCATTATGACGTTTTATGACGTCACGTCATGATGCCACACTATGTGATGACGTCATTGTGATATAATATAGTTACCATGAGGTCGTGAGACGTCAAGATGTCGCTCGCCTTTGTCATGGCACGCGACATCATAACAACGAACGTCTGGCGTCACAGTCATGTGATCTCATTACGTCACCTGATGTGACACACGCGTAGCGTGTGCCCAGATCATTCACAACACATTTCGTGCCCCTCGCTTTTTCTCAGGATGATCAAGATAGTGTAATTCTATTTAAGCCGCCCTATCTCTCCCGCGTTACGTTTCTTTTTTTTTAGCTATCAATAGCTTTTCGATACATGGCTGCAAAACTGAATTAACTTTGTGTAGATCAATGAATTGGGCTGAAAAATTACATTTTTATAAAAATTTACTCGAATTACAGAAGTTATAATAGATGCAACTCCACCGCGGCCGGAAGCTCTTCCTTTCAGGAGAGCACTTGAGGAGGTCGTATTAACATACAACTGATTAGGTATAAGGTAAGTGATTAAAATGATCACAATACCCGATGTTCCTCGTTAATTATAATATTACCTAAAAAAAAAGAAAAAAAACAAAAAAAAAAGGTCCTTTACTTAGACGTTAAAGGTGCCCTAAGCAGGTTTCTTAGATCGCCTTGATAGGGCGATACCTCACTCCTGCTGGCTCTCAGCACCCTATAAATCCCTAAATAATAACAATACGCTGCCGACTCTAACTTAAAAAGCAATCAAAGATCACAAAACAACGATTTCACCTCCGCCGATTGTGTTCCAAAACAAGGACCTTGCACTGTCAACCAAGAGCAAGCGAAAAACCCTGGCGCCTCTGACCGGTTAAACCGTGGAGTGATATCTCGAATGCGCGCGACTCGTAGCGCATTCAACTCGGACTACCATTGAACCCAGTGAGCCCGCGCTCGAGCGCTCTATAGCTGACGACCGGGCACATCACTCCCGTGGAAGACGCTAAAAAAAGAAAAAAAGTAAGATAATTTGCAGTGTTTTAAAAGACTATTGCAGTTTGAGTTTGCTCTCAGCGAAAAAAATAACAGTTTTCGACTACTCGTACTTGCTTCTATCATCTACAAAAAGCCTACACATTTTGTAATAACAAAGTTTGTAATCTCAAGGAAATCACGTGTTTTATTTAGTCATATGCCGTCCTGGCTGCCCGCTGAATGCTTTTCCCGTCGCCGAAGACGATTTCGATCGTTCATTGCTTTGTTTAAAGAAAGATTGGCGGCGCATCGTTATGATTTATGGATTTCTAGGACGCTTAGTGTCCGCAAGAGAGTTATCGTAATATTTAAGCGATCTCAGACGCCTCCTCAAAGCACCTTTAATTTTTACGAAATTTAGCGACGTTACATATCTTTTAGATTCAGATATTAGCTGCTAGACTTTCTTATAACTTGAATTTTGCCATCTCGTGGTCCGCAGTGGGAAACACAGATTCATTCTCGTTTGAGACATTTTTTTTATTTTTTTTATTTGACTAATGGTTTAATGCTACAGAGAGTTTTTGAAGTATGCTCGTTTTCATTTCGAGAAAAAGGAAGTTTTGTGTATTGTTCACACGGCGCGCGAAGTAGATCATACAAGATTTGATTGTCGGGGGAAGACGGGATGTATTTTTAGTGTTTAAACGTCTACTTCTTGATAAGGTAACATATATGTAATCTAGAACACACCTACATGTATATTAATTCTCTACATAAAGGGGGAAATTAGTAATGGTATGCGAGAAGCCGTACCATATTTACTACGGTTCTTAAGGTGAAAACGAGTGTAGCTGGCGTATTTTTAAAATTTTACTAAGCTTTTCCTTTTAAGTACTGATAGCTGATGTTGCAGGGCTTCTCCAAGACAAGGTGTTCCTAATTGACTTTGGGTACAGAGCCAATAAATACCCCGCGTATTGATATAATCGAGTAAGTGAATCCCAAAATAAGTTACAGCATAATAGCGCGTTTCACTTGCATGTTCGCAGGCAGATTCCTGCCGACGACGAGCGGATTTTGTAGCGGTGTGACGAAACGAACTCATCGCCGGCGGAAAATATGGATATGGGCAGTGTTGTAGGCGTCACCAAAACAACAACAACAACAACGACGACAAAATACGTTGCTGGTTACTTTAAGAATAAAGTAACGCGTTACCTCAAAATAAAATGAACACCTTGCCGTTACCAATTCAAAGCAACGCACGTTACTTCTGCGTTACTTTTTAGTTATAAAGTGATGGTAACAGCGTTTTTGCTGATTTTAGTTTCCACAATGTTTATCGACATTGCGTCAAAGGGCCTGGGCGTTGGTTTTTTGTATAAAGTTGGATGTTTTGCGTTGGGAAATTACGCAACATTTTGAAGGTATCTGGAATGAGTGCAATAATTAATGACTTGGAGCCTATACTTCCTTTCAGCTTAAGTCCAGACGCAGCCCACACTTGGAGATAATGACCCCAAACAAACAACATCAGGATCGCAGGTCTCTGGTACCGGTTTTTTTTTGTTTGTTTATGATTGGTTTAGCGATGATAGAATACGTACATAAACATTTCGTACAGCGTGAGGACGCCCCTTTTGGCCCTCTCTGATTGGTCTCATTAGCTCGTAGCCTCAAAAGCGTCTGAACTTACGGTGTAACGAAGTATAGAAACAGGAAAGATAAGTGTAAGTGCACTTTTTCAGGTTTTGAAAGAAGGTGTAACGAGTAACGTAACTACGTCACCCTTGAAATAAGTAAAGCAAGTATGTTACCCGTTACAGTTTTGAAAAAATAACGAGGTTGCGGTAATAAGGTAGCGAGATTATAATTGATTCCGGGTGACCCTCATCGGGTATTTCCGCAATCTTATTCGCTGCAGAGGAATTATGAGACACTGAGGACTTGCCAGTTTTTGGCGTCTCTTAAGCTGTCAGTAATTATAGTGTTTCGCTATATTGTACTTTACTGCAATTATAGTGTTCCACTAATTATAGTGGAATCAAGCCGAAAATAATTAAGAACAAGTATGTCTTCATACCTGCTCTGTCCCTGGCGAATTCGAAGCCGTTGATGTACCAGTCTTCAGCCAAGATGCACTTTAATATATAGGACGATTGTAAAATGGCAGACGCGGCCATTAACCAGTTCCACCCGCTGTGCTCCACTTGCGCCTTCCAGCTGACAAGTACAAAGAACTGCCACACTGCCAACGCCACGCGGCAGATGGACCACTGCTTGATGTCCAGGTGCTTCCCAATCCTAGGGTAGAGCTCTAAGCCCCAGTAAAAATCGAACACGCGGCTTCCCGAAGATCCCGACTCGCCAGGGGAGGGCCACAGCGTGCCCTTGACGTAGAGCAGCGCACAAACCAGAAGCCCGAAAATTGTGATTCCCACGGCGATGCCGGGAAACATGCGGTAGATGGGCCAGCAAGGAATGTCTCGGACGAGCAACAGATATCCCGCAATTCCCATGCTCAGAATGTAGTAGGGAACTGCCGTGTGTCGGTACGCCGGCGTGTGTCCGCTGTTCGTGGTCGGTCCATGGAAGACGTCTCCCGGTAAGAAAAGCAGTCCGGCAGCGGCGTACACGGCTAACAGTAGAATCCACATCCACAAGTCATAGGTGAAGCCGCCCGGAGCAGTCCAGGCGTTGTACGTAAACCGAAGGAAGCCAAGCCGGTAGAATTCTTCGGTGGAAGATCCCAAACCGCAAACAAAGTACACCACCCAGACGAGTATGTTAGGTGTCAGAAGGATCAGGACTCCAGTCACGGCCGATGTCATTGAAAGGTCCGATGACGTGTCTTCCTTCTGTGGCAGCCGATTCTGCATACACAAGGAGAATAAGAGGCGTTATACTAATTAGACTTTTACTGATCGCCTGAAATTACAATTTTTATGATCGTTTATGTGTACTGGCCTCGCCCTTGTTTTTTTAATGTAAAAAAATGCTTAATAAATTAAAAGAGCGAGAAATGTTGATACATAAAACGTGTTTTGCCTAAGAATTAATTCGCCTAAGAATTGATTCAGCTTCATTAATAAACGTACCATCGGGGAAAAATGAAATGCGAACAGAGGAGCGCGTGGCTCGCGGTACAGGCTGCGCCGCCTGGAAGTGAGCCTAGGGGCGAGGGTGCGTGGCCTACTCCGATGTGTTCACGCCCCTCACTCAGCGCTCTCCAAGCTTCGGCAGTTCGCCTCTCAGTACGCTGCAAGCAACATCGCTATCTTTGGTGGCTCAGCGCGTACGGTGCGAAGAAGCTCGCCGCACACGCCGAGCAAAGATAGCGGTGATAGCTTTCAGCGCACTGAGAGGCGCACTGCCGAAGCTTTGGGAACGCAGAGCGAAGGGCGTGAACACATCGGAGTAAACCACGCACCCTCGCTCCTAGGCTCACTTCCAGGCGGCGCAGCCTGTACCGCGAGCCACGCGCTCCTCTGTTCGCATTTCATTTTCCTCCGATAGTACCTGAACTACTAATATAAGTTGCAGTCACAGTACGTGTTCTTTTGTTTCTTCTGAGTCATTCAGTTTTGTCTTTGGTGCTATAGACTCTACTGCAAACGCTGATTACGAGACGTCAGATTCTGACTAAACAGTTAAGGTTGTTCTAAGCGGGTTAAACAAAAAACTTTAAGGGTGTGAATTGAATACTGGCTAAGCTCAAACCTACAAAACTAAAAAAAATGCTCAAAATACTGTATTTGTTTGACTGCCGGATCGATCTGCAAGGTGCACAACATGCAACTCCACTCCACTGAAGAATGCGACGCCACTCCACTGAAATTCAATTGTTGTTTTTATTTATTTATTTATTACCTACTTCGACCAGTGGGCAGTACAGTGGGGGGTGATAGAACATGAGAAATAGCACAGAACAGTAAAATATACAGAAGATGCCAACCAAAACATGACAAAAGCCCCAGTACAGTGCTAACAAAAACAATTTACACAACAAGGTATGATAGGCATCTTACATCAACACGATAGTGTTAAAAAAGGACGAAACTGAAGGGAGTTTTACGGAAGCATCCGGGAGCATATTCCATTCGTGGATTATTTCGGGTAAAAACAATTACTTTAGGACATAAGTCCTCACACAGAAATCTCGAATTGTTTTTAGAATTAGCTACCGTGAGGGAAATGTAGGCAGGAGATATACAACACTTTGACTCATCGAAACCTGTGTTGCCATAATAAGAATTGTGTACAAACTTACAACGTAAACATTTCCTCCTAAACTGCAAAGACTTCCATCACAGTGAGTGCTTTACTTTCAGGGGTTTTACTCGAAGTTATAATTATCTGAAAAAGATCTTGCTGCTTGGTTTTAAATTCTTTCTACATGATTAATACATATTTGCGGATGCGGGTCCACAGAATACACGCGTGTCTTAAAATCGGTCGGACGTAAGACAAATAAACAATCTCTTTTAGGTCAGCAGAAATTTGCCGAAAGTGGTGACGGAGGAAATGTGACATGCCGTTAGCTTTAGAACATAACCCCGTGACATGATTATTTTATTTCAAACAATTGGACAACTGCACTGCAAGATATTTCGCCTCAGTAACAAGATGCAAAGGCTTGTTACCTAAAAGAAAAACTGAAATAATTACTTTACGTTTTCTTGTAAATCTAACATGAATACATCTGGATATATTAAGAAACATCTTGCATCTGGCGCGCCACCTTGAAATGCAACCTACATCACTCTAGAACTTCTACATCAGCGTCTCCGTGTATTTCTCTATGCAAAACACAATCGTCCGCATACAGCCTGATGTGATATGAGATTCCGCTAGTAATATCATTTATAAAAAAATAGAAAAAAAGTGGGCCTAAGATTGAACCTTACGGTATACCCGAGGTTACAGCTACGTATGATGAGTAAATTCCGTTAATGACGACACGTTGTCTCCTGTCACCGAGATAATTTGCTATCCACTGCAGGACTTTTGTATTCATGTTTAGACTAGCAGCTTGTGAAGCAGAAGCGAGTGGTCCGCAACATCAAACGCTTTTCTTTAAGCACCCAAAAATATACAATCAGTTATAGAACCTTTATGAAACGAATCAGCAAAGTCGTAAAAAAATTTGAGTAATTGTATATTACATGATAATACTGGACGGAAACCGTGCAGAACCGCAGAAAAGCGGTTATGGTTCGTTAGATTACGTGCAACACTTGAATATACAATGTGCTTTATTAATTACAGCATCCACTCGTTAGTGATATGGGCCTATAGTTGCTTACATTATTTTTTGCCCCGTGCCTGTGTATTGAAACTACATTTCTGCTTTTCCAGTTGTCAGGAAGACAACCAATTTTCAGCGATTTCGTGTATGGTATCATTAGATATGACTCGAGGATTTCAGCACATGATTTTAAAACAATGTTGGGTATTCCGTCCGGTCCGGTGGCATATCCCACTCTCAGATTGCTTAATAATTTACGTATGCCGTTATGATCAAAGGTAATGTTGTCCATAGCATGATTAATTACGTCAACGTTGGGAGGTACAGACGTAAGTGTTGAAGTTGAGAAGACAGACCTGAAATGCCCACTGAATACTGCTTTTTTTTTTTTTGGCTGTCGTCCGACACAGGAGCGTCGTCAATCACAGGGGGAGGGACACCCGCCACATCTTTTATTTGAGATTTAACATATTTCCAGAGCTCCTTAGGACAGTTCTTAATCTTTTGACAAAACGAAGAAAACTAATCATACCATGCATTTTTTTATTTTTCATTTGAGCTCCCGTTGAAGGTCGTTAAGATGATCACGTGTACATGAATCGTTCGTTTTCTTATAGCGCGCGAACATGGGCTTATTTCTAAGCATTGACCGTCTAATTTCCGGATTCATCCAAGGCTTACTTTACTTGCGCTTCGCACTGGCTATTTTAGCTGGTGCGTAAACATCAAGCAGTCATTTTATCTTAACTTTAAATAAATTCCACAAAGCGTTTACATCGGTACACACACTCGTACTTCAAACCGAGGCAAAAAAATTCTAAGATCTAAACGTAGATGAAAAAACAGTTAGGGCGCAGGTGAGCTGGTGTAAGTTTACCATTTTTTAGACCACCTGACACTGGGTGGAAGAAACACGACGACGTCTCAAAAACGTCGTTGTGTTTCTTCCACCCAGTCTCAGGTGGTCTAAAAAATCTAAACTTAGGGCATCTTAGTCAGCGCTGCCGAACATGTAAACCGTTTTTGGTTGGCTTTTGTATCGTGTTACATTTGAACAATTTATTATCGCTACAACTGCTTCGTGGTCGCTTATGCCTTGCATTACAGAAACAGAGGTGACAGTTGACGGCCTATTACACAAGTATAAGTCAAAGACAGATGATCGTCTGGCACCAGCTCTAGTGGGTTCCGTGACAAACTGATACAAATGGAAGTCATTTAATATATCTAGAAGCGCTGAATAGACACACTATAAATGAGTAGTCACAGGTCGATAATTTACCCAAGATACATCTGGGAGGTTGAAATTCCCAATCAAAACAAGATTTCCCGGTGCAACAACGGACATCGCGTCGTACAGGGACGAAAGAGACTGCGCCGTACTAGACGGAGGCCTATAGAACGCGCCTACCGTCAAATATTCACCTTTATAAAGCGAAGTCTTGCACCACACTGTTTCACAAATCACACCATTTAATGGCTACTGCGAAGCTATGTAATTTCTTCTTAACAAGCAAGAATACACCACCAAGATGATTCTTTCCATCAGCTCGATAAACGTTATAGTTCAGAGGAAATACTTCCCTGTCAAGGACAGAGGCTTCAAGCCACGATTTGGTTCCGATAACGGCATCGGGTGTGGTGACCGAGATAAGACCAGAAACATCGTCCGATTTGTTTTTTATGCTTCAACGTTTGTCGATAAGAAACGTAAGGTTAAGGTTGTTTAGTGCTGCGGCTCGTGTCAAAGAACTGCTTTGTAATTGCTCGCAATAGCAATCCACAACGGATGAAGAACTTTCGTCATACATGTTCCACGTGTGTTTTCCTAAAGAATGTTTATTAAATCTAAGTTTGTACGGGAGGGTTTCGACCATGGAAAAATCTAGTAGTTTCTTGCGCTCGAAGCGCATCTTAAGAGAAATCCTCGCAACACAAAACGGCGTTTTTTTTTTTTTTTAAATTTAGGATTTCGAAGCAAAATACATGTTTTGTCTTGAACGTCAATAATTTAACAATGACATATCTGTTACGTTTATGACTGCAAGCGCCCAGTCTCTGGGCGCGCTCAACAGCGCATGGCTCGAGTGCGAAACCCAGGTTGTCGCGACAAAGATGTTTTAATTTTTGTTCGGAAACAGACCATGATGCATTCTCATAGTCCGAAATGCCATATAAAAATAGATTTCGCCTGCTAGACTGGTTTTCGAGACTATCCTGTTGTGCGGCAAGGTTCGATATTTGCCGCGACAATTCATTCGTGGCGGCATCAACAGCACTCAGGTCTTCCTCAGTGTTTTCAGAATGGCGTGTCGCCTTCCGTAGCTTTGATTTTTGGTGATACACTTTCAAGCTTTTCATCCATCGTCATTTGTCTAGCCTGCACGTTCCTTAATTCTTGAAGCGGCATTGACTTTCCTTGCTCACGTTTAGAGAGCGTTAATGTCTTAGTTATTTCTGTCAATCGGGATTGGATGAAAGTCTTTATAACCTTGATTTGCCGTTTTCTCAGCGTCTAGCCTGAGTGTAGAAATAGCCGGCTCGGTGGCTCCGAGGCGAGAGCGCCGGCCTACGGATCCCCAGATGGCGGGTTCAAATCCCGACCGAGGGGCCCGCAATATGACG